CTATAGTTCCATTCCTGTCTATTGACTATTTGCTAAGGATAAAGAACTTTACTATACAATAAAAAAAGTTGGTTTTAATAGTTCCAAAGTCTGTTAACTTGTACTTTGACATTATAAATGTTTGATATAGGAAACTTTATTTGCTAAGATGTGTGTGGTAGAAACTGTTTGCACACATAAAATGGTAACTGGCGCCTATGCTAGGAGCTTGAGGTAAGTTCCACTCTTGGTGGTAATAACTCCCTCTCACTGGACTTGGCTGACTCAGCTAAGTCACTTGCCTGGAATGGACGAGGTGAGGCTTCGCTTCTTAGACAAGAGCATCAAGATCCTTTGTCATGGCTTTTCTGTTTGGGGCAGAATAAACATGGGGCCCAATTCTTCTCTTTTTAAAAAGTCATGTAAGTTGAAAAGGAGTCTTCCAACAATAGGGACCATGTATCATCGTTATATCTTCCATAGCACCTGGCTCAGATTTTTCAACATGTGACATGATCAACAATAACAGCTCTTGCTTAGGGCTAAATTTCATTGCCACTAAATTGGCACATGAAGGTTCAGAAGAAATCAGAGAGTTTTCACTTCTTCACTAGGTTTGGAAATAATTGTTCCAAATGGATCTACTCTTAGGTACACCGAGTGTCCTCTGAAATAGTATCTGAAGTCTTTTGGTTGGTGGTGACCAAAAAAAATTAAAGCAAGTTTAAGCACAAAAAATGCTTCATGTAATGGAGAAGGTCTTAGTCATAGCTGAAATAGGCTCAAAACTATCATCAGGACTGTCTCTCCCCTAGCCTCTTTCTTCTGTGCTGGCTTCATAATCCCTCCCTACCAACTATCAATCTTATGCTTACATCCTTTCCACTCACAACCCAAAAGAAAGACAGACCCTCTATCAAATCTTAGGGAAGACTTTGGCTGACTCTGCTTGGGCCACATGTCTCTTCTAGGGCCGGGAAGCAAGGCATCATAATGGACAGAAACCCAAGGAGAAGGGGAGGGAGTCCCCCAAAGGAAAGGATGTTATACAAATAAATGTTAAAGTCTACTCAACAATTCAAGGTCTGAAATTCTAAGTGCCCTTTTCCCCTTACTGTGCATGATGGAAAGCAAACTATAGTTTAGCTAACTTCCAAGGCGACTATAGCTATACAATACACTCATTACAGAGAATTTATATTTACTGGACCTATCATATGACTACCACAGTGTCAGGCATTTCATAATCATTAGCTTATTTCATTTTCACAATAAATAGATATTTAAGATGAAGGCACAGAAGCTTCAAGAAGCTACAAAGTAAATATTAGAACCAAAAAACACACACCCCAGAACCCCTTGCTTTTAGCACTGAGAATTTGGGACTCTTTTTAGTTTCTTTACTGAAAATATCAGAAGTGTATGGATAAAAGCTCAAAAACCTACATATTAGGCAGGACCAACTTAATTAAGCAGAAAGCAATTATCTACAGGAAGTGATTTATCAGATGCCCTGAAAGAGTTTTACTCTTTGCCTGAAATTCCTCCCTCAGAGATTATTTTGGGCTAAGTCATTATCATTGATTAATTTATTTTGTTATTTTACTACAAATACTTCCTAAGAGCACATGGGCTAATTCAGTCTTGTTAAAAGCCAAATGCCTCAGAAAGGGTAATATATGAATTTTTTTTTTTTGTATATTCACCTTGGTAATATTTTTTTTTATTCTTTTTAATATATGAATTTTTAAACATTAACCCAAACCTTTATACACATGATTTCCCACTCCTTTCTTTACTTGGTCCCCAGAAATAAGACAAAGAACAGGTCACATCACATTGCTTGGCAGGTGTCAGGGTAGAGCTCACAGCAGTCAGTGACTACACTAGGGGCTGGGGAAAAGTCTACGACCTTCGTGCTCCCAATGAAAATTACTCGGTATTTGATCACAGAATCCAGGCAAACTCTAAGATCGGAGGACAGTAACAAAAGGAAATACAGTTACCATGAAGCCTATGAAGAAATAAAAGGAATCAGAGAGGTAAGATAGAATAGTAACCGTGAGCATTTGCTCTAATGTTCCTATACTTAATTTTAGAATTATGTACATGATTTAATAAAGGAAAAGCCTAATCTTCAGTGACTATGGTTAAATGTTTCATCGTACAACATTACTGCTGCTACCACAATGTTACCCACAGAAATCGGATGCACATGCAGCCTCAAGTTAAACAGTGCCGAGGCTTCGAGCCTTCAGAAAGGGAGCAGCACATAAGCGAGTGGCCTGGTTCCAGCCTCCTGCCAGCTCAGGGCCCCACTGCACCCCTGGAGGACTGTAACTGACAACTGCCCCAAACTACTAGCTTTCAGCCACTTCTCCTCTTAAATGGGATATTGGGAGCAACATTTTCCCCAACGATTCTGGCATTGTACCTGGCACACAGTAAGGATTCAGTAAATTTAAAGTAAGAGGGGGAGGTCTTCGGGCCATCCTGGAGGAGGAAGTGGAGAAGGAAGAGCAATAGAAGGAAGCCTGGCCGGTGTGGGTCAATGGTTGAGCGTCGATCTATGAACCAGGAGGTCACAGTTCGATTCCCCATCAGGGCATATGCCTGGGTTATGGGCTCAATCCTCAGTGTGGGGCATGCAGGAGGCAGCTGATCAATGATTCTCTCTCATCAGTGATGTTTCTATCTCTCCCTCTTCCCTTCTTCTTTTAAATTAATAAAATATAAAAAAAGAGCAATAGAAAGAAGAAAAACTTGCATCATGCCTATATTTATGCGCTAGACTCTTAACTCTAAGGGGAAAATGGGGGAAAATGAATAAACTTTTAAGATCACGGTAGTTTGACCACCACTTCTTAAATATGAGGAACTGAACTGGGCGGTGTTAGCCACTTGCCCAGTGTCAGATAGGATATGAGAGCAGGCTGGGTTTGTCATCCAGGTCTCGGAACTCCCAGTCTGTCTTCCCCCAGTAAAAACTGCATGCCGAGGGATGCGCCATATGGTTTCAACAGGCAGCAGCAGAGCTGGAGTCATGCTGCATCCCCTGTGTACAAACACATTTCTACAGACAAGGAAGAAATGAATGGTGTCCACCGATGGGAGGCTCCCTATCACACATTTTCCTGGGGCCTGTGCAGTAGTGTCTAAGTGAGAACCTGTTAAAATGTGTCTCTGGTACATTCAGTAACCGAAGTTCTTTATATTCAGTCAGCAGAGTCATTCCAAAAATTCTGGCCTCTGATAGGCTGATTTATACTGAAAGTTCTCTCATACTCATACCATGACAGGAAATGGGTATCGTTCTCTTCATTAACAAAACATGTAGAACATGCCTCCTCTGGGTAAGACACTATGTTAGAGTCTGAAAGAGATGTAGACGACATGGGTCTTGCATATGGGGGACTTGGAACCCATGTCATGAGACAGAACACACATATGAAAGATAACCTCAAAATCAGTGTACTGTTTTTAATTTTTTGTTTATTGATTTTAGAGAGAGAGGAAGCGGGGAGGGGGAGAGAGAAACAATTTGTTGTTCCACTTATTTATGCATTCATTGGTTGCTTCTTGTATATGACCTGACCAGAGATCGAACCTGCAACCTTAGCATATTGGGAGGATGCTCTAACCAACTGAGCTGCCCAGCCAGGGCTGCAAAGTCAGTGTTTGTAAGTGCAAAGTATAAGGTTGTGGACTTATAGGAAGCCTTCTGGAGAATTGGAAAACCTAAACACAGAGTTCCTTGAGTATAACTGAACATGGTAATTAAGGTTCAAAAATTAAAGTATTCACCAGACACGAAATTAACACTGCTAATCTCAATTTATCTGTTTGTGTTATACCACCAAATTTCAAATCATCAGAAACAAACCATCTTGAGATTTGATTCATTTATGAAATGGATGCTATAAATGGTCCTGGATATATGCCACATAAAAAGACTATATTGGAATATATTTAATATGTAAAAGTAAAATATGTATGTATTGGTAAAACACATAGTTATCAAATTAAAATGTGTCATTAAAATACATACTGTTCCCATTTTATTTTCAGCATCACAGAATAGCAAGCTACGGAGTAACTGAGCTGTCAATGTGTTCATTCACTAGTTGTTACCTTCTTCCTGACAACTCTAGGAGTGACTTCTCACCCTATGCTTGGATACGTCCAGTGGCTGGAAACTGCCTCACGAGGCAATATGGTTCACATTCAGACATTCACCTATTTCATCCGACATAAACGCAAGGTACTTCAAAATGAGAACATTTGCAACAGGAAAAGAGCAAGCAAAATGTTTGCTAATTAGTTATAGAGATGTCTCTTTAGTGATTAAGTTCTCTTTGGAGGTGTACTTAATAAGATTGATAAGCTGCAGTGGTCAGTAAGCCTGTGGAACAACATTCCTGCTCAGGGTCAGTTCCTTCAGGAAGTACACTGTGGGAAATTAGGTAATTTAAAGAAACAAGTGCTATAAACGAACTCAGCAAAAACTTACACTGCAGATGATCTACAACATTTGTGAATCCTACAATATATACAGTAATATTTGATGTTAAGTATGTTCCTGTATATCAATATAGAGCTTAATCTTCAAGAAACATATATTTATTGTCAGGGTAGTCAACATAGTATGGCCAAAAAGAGTACAGTTTGAGAAAAATGTTCAACTGGATTTAAACAAAAAGGGTCTAGCTGTTTTGTGCTGCATGAACTGAAAAGTAAGCCATGACGAGTTCTGCTGTATTTGATTACTCTCCCCATTATCAAGATTTCTGGCTGTGCATACCATTAACTTTCCACATGAATTTAGGCCCCTATACAACTAGTTGATTAAAAATCATTTTGTTTATTATTAATAGATTAAAATAGTAGCACTAATGAATCAAATGATTGATTTGATTGATGAATCAATCAAATGATTTCTATCTACCACCACCAAGGGCCACAACAGAATAAAACAGCAGCGGGAGGGGGATAGGGGGGGAGAGGGTTCACTTGATCCTTACCACTTGGCCAGCTGGGCACATCCCTTTTGTAGCTCTGCAGGACTGTGGAGGACTCGCCTGTGTTTTGAGAATGACATCCACAAATTTAAACTTTCACCACAAACTCATTTAATTCTCTATAATTTGAGGGCCCATGACCCTTTCCAGCAGAATTAGAAGGGTGCAGCCATTGGCATTTTTGTGCTCCGTCCCTAGTAGGTCCTGACTGAGCATGTGGCTCAGAGCAGGCTAATGAGGCTACTAGGTGGGGACACAAAGATGAATAAGGCCCAAGAGGTTACTGTACATCCAGTAGCAAGATCAGAAACATGCTGGGCCTTCCCAAATGTCTACGGATTCTTGTACCTGTCATCAACACAACTGATGGACTGGGTATCTACCGTTATGCTAATTTACATGTTTCTTGAGACATGCTGGCTAATGAAGCCTCTGCCACTTTTTTTCAAGTCCCCTTTGTAAGTACTTTGAGACCTGCATGACCAGCAACATGGCAGTGCCTGACAGAGAAGCCTCTCTTTAGACCATCCTATAGCAGAGAAATAAAACGCGGCATCAGAAAACAGCTGATGGGGTGTGTGGATGGGGTGTAGAGCAGATTAGGAGGAGGAAAATGGTGAAGCAATGACAAAAATCAGTGACAGATGACGGAAAGAGAACGGGGAGGATCAGGGGCCAATGGGGTGAATGACAGGAAAGGGAGTCCAAATGCATTGATTTCTAACCATAATTTGCACTTCTGGACTAGAACTTCACTTCAGACACAGTTTCCTGTCTTCATTTTCTTTTTAGAATTTGGAACTTGAGAAAGCAAACCCAAAAAGCAGTAGACACCACTTCCTGTCAACCAGTAGTAAGAAGCACTGTGTGTAAAACTCGAGACTGCACTCCTGTGATCCCAAAGAAGACAGAAAAGAGCGCATGCCTCATTGAGGAGAAACCTGATTTCAGTTAGAGCCAAGACTGCTGACAGCGGAGAAGAGGAACAATAGGAGGAAAGCAGAAGTTCCCAGTGGAAACCCGGAGCAGTGAACAGGAAGTGGAGAAGGGTCGGAAAGAACTCACTGTCCTACATCTGCCCACCCCCAGGCTTTCAGGTAGACATATTCCCTAAGGAAGGACTCAATCAGCCCATACCCTCAGGAACCGTAAGCAAATCATTCTGACAAATCTCTGAGAAGTTTCAGGCTGCCAAACGAATGCCGATGCTCACTGTTAGGAAATGAGCCATCGTCTTATAAAGTCATCTCGGGTTTTAAGATCAGGCTCATCATGTACTGAATAGTGTCATTTTCACAAGCAAAATTCAGAGCACAGCTATTGGCTCTTGCTAATAATCAGACGCTCCAAAGTCTACAAAATATATTCTGAGCACTCCCAGAAGATTTCTGGCAAAAACTGGTTTATTTCCCAGGTGACTAGGTATACCTATCCCTGGTTAGCTTCCTGAGGAACAAGCAGCAGGAAATTTAAGCCAGATGTGGACTCGGAGCACCTGAATCAGATGTCACGAGGTTCTGTAGACCTATTTAAATGTATTCAAATAAAGCACTGGCGTGACAGAGATGTGGCTGCAGATTTAGTAAGTACGGCTGTAAACATTTTATTGAAAAAGAAGCAAAAATGCAATACTTTGGGGCAACTAGTATAAGGCAAATTCTATCCGGCACACCAACTAAAATGCCAGCACTGCATTTAACAAAGCTAACATGTAAGTGAGTAACATAAGCCAGTGAGGAGAAAAATTTCAGAGCAAATGTTACCACTTTAAGTTCTGTTTCTGGGCCATAAGCAGATGTGGAAATCTGCCTGACATTCGTTTAAAAATACTCATTGAGGTTTTTGCTGGAAGCAAGGGGCATCACTTGTTTGGAGTGGTCTCACAGTTACATGTGAAAAAGCAGGGGGCACAGGAAAACGTCTGCAAGTGGATAATGGATGTCACTTTAGAGCCAGTTTACTTCTCTATATGTTATCCTTGATCATTGTTCTGAAAAAAATCCCAATTTCAGATGGCAAAACGAAGCCTGGCTTGTACAATACATCCTATGCTAGGCAGTGATGTAAAGAATCTCAAAACTAAACTCTGACTCTAGACAGTGTGATCAAAATGGGCTGTAAGATTACTAACACATGAACATCAAAAAGGAGTTTTCAGTATTTTACATTTCACCTAGCCCATTTCTTGAGTCAGTGTACTTTTACAGTTAATTATTAACTATACACCCTCCGATCCTTTTAAGAAAAGCACATGAAAGATCACAGCTGATTATTCTCTTTCACACAAGAAATAACCAAAACTCTCCCTAGAAGACAGCCACACAAAATCGTCAAGCACTTAGGATTCTGCATAGTACAAACCACACTTACTGATTTTTTCCTCATCCCTGGAGAAAGGAAAGCAGCAGAGCTGGCCCATGGCACTGGTGCCGTCTCTCTTTCCTGGTGCTCTTCCCCCCGGGCACCCCAAATAGAAAATGCAGTTTACACCGGGTCTGTGAGCACACCCTGCCTATTCCACTCGGAGGAGCTGTGCACGGAGCGAGCAGGGCGTGCAGAGCCAATGCACAGCCGGGAGGGAGAGGGGAACTCGCTGCAGTGAGCAAAAAGGCTCCACCTCCCCGTCCTCCAGCCCAACGTGCTGCTCCGCTGCTCCAGGACTGGCATTCAGGGAAAGAAGTGGCCTTATGCTTGACTAAGCCTCACAGAGCTGTGAGCTCTGGCCTCCGGCAAGCACTACGTGTGCCTTGCGGACCTCTAGAGGGGTCTGTAAGAAAGGTAAGGAAGAACAGACCACCATGAGTCCTGCCACAGACAAATACAGTAACACACAGGGAAAGTCAAAAGGGAAACATTTTCTGTCTGCCGCTTAAAGAGGAAGAGCTTTCTTTTTCCCCCAGGAGATTTGAGTTTGTTTTATGAATAGGGAACTTGACATTGCTTTTCTGTCTGCCGCTTAAAGAGGAAGAGCTTTCTTTTCCCCCCAGGAGATTTGAGTTTGTTTGTTTTATGAATAGGGAACTTGACATTGAAGAACACTGACAACACAACTTGCATGAAGTACCATTAACTACTTCACAAACAGGAGAAATGACAGGGAAACTGGGAGGAAGGGGAGTGTGGATTATTATCTGCACTTTACAGCATACCTTTTAAAGTTAAATGCCTGCTTTCTGAATCACTGCTTTGTTCCCCTATTACAGCATTAATCAATATTATGAATTCTGAAATGATAGCATCAACTATGTCAATAGCCCAGAAAATTCCTCAAATGGAGACTTTGAGAAAAAGAGAAAAAGATCAGGAATAAGAGCATGTTTCTAATTTAAATGACAAGTTGGTTAAGCAAATTCAGGGGCAGCAAAACAACTAACTTCAAGACATGACATATTTTGAGCTTCATGACATGAGATCATTATCTCATGCAATTGTTCAAAATCTGTTATCAGTATAGAGCACAGCCTTACTCTATTACTGTAGAGGTGAAAGACTGTTCTGAGTGTGAGAAGTGCCATCCAAATTCTTCCTTTACTCCTCTACTTCCTGGCTAGGCACACACACCTATTTACCAGGAAGGAGTTGGAAGGAGGAGGACATAGGTGATAATGAAAACTTCCAACTTCTGAATGCAATATGTCTACTTTCATACTCACCTGAACAAAAAGAGTGCACAGTCTAAAAGAATAAAAATTGTCATTTTTAAAAATCCTAAACATTACTTTTTTGTGTCAAAGAAAGAAATATTTGCAGTAAATACTCTTCATTGAAGAAAATGAGTAACTCCTAGCATTCCCCAGTCACCAACATTGGTGCAGTATACAGTCGTTAGAATTAGAAAGCCAGAGGTTTAATTCCCAAATCTGTCAGTTATGAAACTGTGACCTCTTTGCCAGAGTTTTGATATCTTCATCTGTAAATCAGGTAAATTCATTATACAGTTTTAGTTTGTTGTCGCAAAGTAGGAAGTGCTTGGGAGGAGGGGGAGAGACCGGGACAGATGGTCTGAATACTGTGTCCCCATGCACCTCCAGGTTTTCAGCCCCAGCTAGCAATTTTGTCTCCTCCTCTTCTAATTTCCTGCCCTGCTGGCTGCCATGCTGAGTTACTGCTTCTACTACATAAGTGACCCACCTCCAAGCAAGAAAGGCTCTCACCCAAATGCAGTGCCCAGGAGATACCATTCTGTGATAAAACCTACCAACTTTATTAATTAGCCCTTGTTGGCACTACTTGTGAAAATGTGCAATTAAGAACAAAATACAGAAAATGTGTCATTAAGTAACAGTATCTACCTCAGGATATTCTGCAATCTAAGGGAGGGGGCTATTTAATGTTAAAGAGTTTTTTCATAACTATTAAAAGTGAATTAACCATAATAAAAGATTATAAAACAATTGAGAAATTCAAGACAGAATTTTTAAAACTGGCTTTTAGAATATATGCACCCCTATGTTCATAGCAGCACAATTTACAATAGCTAAGATTTGGTAACAGCCTAAGTGCCCATCAGCAGTTGAGTGGATAAAAAACTGTGGTACATGTATACAATGGAATACTACATGGTGATAAAAAAGAAAGAACTCTTACCATTTGCAACAGCATGGATGGACCTGGAGAGTATTATGCTAAGTGAAATAAGCCAGTCAGAGAAAGATAACTATCACATGATCTCACTCATATGTGGAATCTTATGAACCAACTAGAGGCCCAGTGCATGAAATTCATGCACGGAGGGGCGGTCCCTCAGCCCGGCCTGCACCCTCTCCAATCTGGGACTCCTCGGGGGATGTCCGACTGCCGGTTTAGGTCCGATCCCTTGGTTTAAGCCTATTCATAGCATTAATCAATACCTGATGTTATTTTGTATTTCAAAAATGTTGCTTTGCTTATTGTGGTAGGCTGAACAATACTACCCTCTCAAACCCCAAGATGTCCATGTCCTAATCTCCAAAACCGATCACCTTACAGCATAAAAAGAGCCTTGCAAATATGATCAAAGTAAGGATTTTGTGGTGATGGGATTATACTGGATCATCTAGGTGGGTCTAATGCAGTGGTTC